TCTCTAAATAGCAAAAATCCCCCTGCTGAAATTTAGTCAAAGGCAAAAAACCCCGGTTGACTTAAGTGTGGCTCATTCGCGGGTTGCGCGACTGGTATTAGTGTTAAAAAATAGTAAATAATTAAATTTAAAAATTATTAAAAAAATTTTAATCAAATTAAGTATAGATTTTTTTTAATATATAATAACGGAATTTAAATTTTCTTTTGATGTAGCGATAATTTAAAATATATACAAAAACTATGTGATATTAAAAACAAAAGTAAATTAAATACCCCATTGTACCTTTATAATTAAGATATAAATAAAATAATTAAAATATTTAAAAAGTATAAGAATTTATTAATTGCAAAATCCCGGGGGTATTTGTGTCCTTTTTTATGAAGTCAACACTCAAATGATAAATGGGCCGAGTGTGCTATTTAAATAATTTCATAGGGGGTTTTTTGCTTGTTTATTTATCATAGGGGGGTTTTCGCTATTTAGAGATTACACAGGAGTACTTTTTGCAGTTCACTCATATGTATAATTTCCTTGCTATTTCACATTTACAGGAAACTAATAATTTGTCCTAATGGAGAGGACAAAGCAAAAGATAGCGACTATATTTCTATATATTTGGCTATGGGGGATACAAGTTCTATGCCTGCAAACTGGGAGGTCAATGCTGTGTTTAGCATCTTTCTTTACAATCAAATTCATGACAACTACCTTTATTCATTAGGTATTTATTATCTTTATTCATTTCGTTTACTTAATTTGCTAATGACTATTTCTATACGAGGAAAGTAATTGTACAATATTTCCAATCTTTACATGGGACAGGAATAACAAGACGTTTCCTAGGAGTGAAGCCCCAATGGGGCTTTTCCAAATTTATCTCTAAAAAGTTTCTGACTGATCCATCGAACGGATACCTAGTCGATGACAATTGTGTGTTTGGTGCTGAGGTTTCTGTTGTTAAAAAGGAAGCTTTCGCAATTGAATGTTTGTCTTTGAAGAATTTTGAAATTCCTTACAAGCGTGATTGGAAGATTCCAAACTTCTCCAAACTCGGAGAGTTTTGGAAATCTGAAGAATTCAGTGCTGGAGGCCACAAATGGTAATTACAGATTTGTGTTTGAACTGTGTCTCATCCTTTGACTTGTTTCTTTGACATGAGTTTTTTTCACGGCATAGGGCTGTTAAGCTTTATCCCAAAGGAACTGGAGACGCATCTGGCCGCCATGTCTCTGTCTATTTGTACTATTATGGTTCCAATACTGGTACGCCTTCCGAAAGAGTGCATACACGTCGGACCATACGCATCAAAAACCAGCTTTATGATCTACATCATAAGTATACTAGTAAGTTACATCAACAAACATATATGGTAATTGTAATAGCGTAACTGAGGCATGTTTGCGATATCCGTTTATTTTATAAGTTCAGTTGCGAATGTTCCGACTTTGGTCTGAAAATGCACAAAAAATAAAACACAACATTAAGTTGTTCATCAAGTTTGCGTAAAACCTTGATGTTTGCACCACGATTATTGTCTTAAATTGCAAATTTGTACTACTGAAACACTCCACTTTTGTGTTGCAGATACTGCGTGGTATGTCGGTTCCAGCGATAATTGGGGAAGGGATGCATTCATGGAGATTGCGACTATAACTGATCCCAAAAAAGGATTCATTGTGAATGACTCTTGTCTTCTAGAAGTGGAGATCTCTGTGAAAGCTGTTGTGCAAGTTTCTCCCTTGCCAATTAAAAAATAAGACCATTCTTCACTTCGGCATTATTTTTAGTGATTTTGTGTAACGGTTATTTCGTGTATTGACATGTATATGATTCATGATACAATGATTGTTGAAATTTCAATGTAATAAGATGTTTGCATTATGTTAAGCTCTAATACACCTACCTGATGTAGTGTTTGTTAGTTAAATATCAAAAAAGATCATAACTATTGATACATAACAATTGATACTGTCTATCGGTGATAGAATCGCTGAGTTCTAAGGAACTATCGCTCAAATCCTCTGGTGCCATCTTAGAAGATTGTTTTATTTCTTTCTAGTTATTTTTCTTCTTTTTCTTTCTGTTTTGTCAAGAAAAAGAAATAGATCGCTTGGTGTTAAGTGTATATTTATACACTTAATTGTACCTTTTAATTGGAGCTTTTGATGTGTTTTTACGATAATTGGTGCTTAATTTGGTTATTATTTGTATTTTAGGGACAAATTGAAGAATTGGAAAAGTATGGGGTCAAAACTGCAATTTTGGAGAAAATATGGGCCAAAAGTGAAAAAATCAAAATTCTGAAGATTTAAAGCTCGGACCCCCGTCCCAGTTTTAGTGCAAATCGTGGGACCCCCGTCCGAGACTCCGAAATTGCGCAGAAAAGGGATTTTAATTGCACAAGGAAACTGCCTTCTTCCCCAAGTTCTTCACCCTATATAAGACCAAGTCAGACACACAATTAGGCATCATCTTTTTATCATCTATCTTTTATCTTTCATCTTTCTACACGCGAGCAAGAGAACGAAGACGAAGACTTGACGAATCTTCATCCGAGTTTTCCTTTTACTTTTATTCTTCGATTTTTATGAACTTTCATATTTTTATTATGCTTGTCGTTACGAACATGAGTAGCTAAGTTTTTATTCTAGGATTTTATTGGAACCCTATGTGGTGATTCGAACCTATTTTTCTACTTTTATGCAAGTTTAATTCTTCGATTATTTCTTCGATCTTGATCGTATTTAGTGCATGAGCGTAGCTAACTTATGTTGCTATTTGTTATTGTTAGAATTGATTGACAGATCGTTTTAATAATTAGAACAGGGATAGAAGAGCCTTCGAGTAGTTTTTCACCGAATGCGTGTGTTGATTGCATGTATTATCGTAGACATACAGATAATACCTTAGGTAGCCGTTTACGAGACTTGTTATTTAATGCTTTATTTATACTAGGTTTGCATAGACATATAGTTAATCTTTTATGAATAATAGGTTTATAGCGCAGCGACAGCTGGTTATGAATAATTTCGTGTCTTGGGTTAATAATCGGGAATCGTAACTTGCATAATAGGAGATTAATTGGGTGAAGAATTATCGCATAGGGGGAAGATAAAATCCTAGATCCGTTTATTATTGATATTTTCTCGTAATTACTTGCTTTCTTAATTATTTTAATTTATTTAGTTAATTAAATTGACAACCTTGCGTAGGCTGGATAAAAATAACAATTGTTAGAATTTGGTACTTAGGATTAAATAATTTGCGTATTCCCTGTGGGATCGACATCCGACTCTCACGAGTCTACTTTACTACTTGTTTGCGATACGTGCACTTGCGTGTGGGTATTTAGCACCCAACAAGTTTTTGGCGCCGTTGCCGGGGAATACGGCTAAATTATTTATTTATCCTAATATTAAATTTGAACAATTTTTCTTACTTCAGCCAATTTTTTTTATTTTATTTAATTATTTTTTTTTATTTTTTTTAGGTACTTTTTATGCGAAGAGGACACGACACGAGCTTGCTACCTCTTGACCCCGAAATTGAGCGAACGTTTAGGCAAGCCAGGAGAAATCAACGGTTAGCCCAAAACAATCCGGCAACGATGGAGGACGAGAATAATCGTGGAGAAGGTGACCAAAGGCGCCCACCGAATGTGGCAAGAGAAATCGTCAACGAGCAAGAGCAACGCCAGCTGATTAATCCACCGCCTCGTCAACGAGCACTGCATGAGTATACCGTCCCGACACTCAATGGGTTCCAATCGAGCATCCAGCAGCCCCCCATTGAAGCCAACAATTTCGAGATTCGAGCGGGACTCCTCACGATGCTTCAAAACAATGGTTTATTCAGCGGATTGGCTCATGAAGATCCACATCTCCACTTGGTCAATTTTCTCGAGACGTGTGATTCGCACAAAATGAACGGAGTATCACCCGAAGCACTGCAACTCCGCCTGTTCAAGCATTCCTTACAAGGCGCAGCCCGAGAATGGTTACAAACTCGCGCACCGCATTCCATCTCGTCTTGGGCCCAGCTAGCACAACTTTTCATGAACACATACAACTCCCCAACAAAAACTGAGAGAATCCGGAGAGAAATTCAAAATTTCATACAAGAAGCCGGTGAAGCACTATTCGAGACGTGGGAGCGGTTCAAACAGCTAGTAAGGAGGTGCCCGAATCACGGACTTCAAGAGTGGCGCCAACTGCAAATATTTTACGATGGGCTACAAGACAACTCGAGAACCGTGCTCGACTCCGCAGCTGGAGGAATGTTCATGAGTTTGACTTACGATGAAGCATACGAGCTTTTGGAGCGAATCGCTAGAAATAAATACATGCGGGCATCGGACCGGTCGAACAGCGGAGCAGTCAAGACAGGAGGAATTTTGGAGTTAGACGGGGTCACTGCAATCACGGCCCAGTTAGAAAAACTATCGAAGCAAGTAGCGGCTTTGCAGACTCAGCAAGTCCACACAGTCCAAGTTCCCGACCAACGCATAGAAGAAACGGAGTCTCTGAATTATGTGCATGACACCAACCGTCAACAGAGGAACCCGTACTCCAACACGTACAACCCCGGATGGAAGGATCACCCTAACTTTGGGTGGGGAGGAAATCAGCAAGGACCAAGGCAAACACCACCTCAAGGTCAACCGCCTAATTATTCACGACCAGCGCCCGGCTTCCATAATCCGCCTCAAGCTCAACCTCAAGGCGGAGATCTCGCAAACATCTTGGCGCAGTTCATGACGACCACCCAAGCCTCCATCCGAAACTTGGAAACACAGATGGGTCAACTTGCAACCCAACTAACAGCGAGGCCATCGGGAGCACTGCCATCAAACACGGAAGATCCTCGGAAGAACAACATCGAGCAGTGCAACGCTGTAAGTTTAAGGAACGGGAGACAATTGGAGGAGGCCCCACGAAAGGAGAAGCAAAACACAGTAAATGAGGAGCCGAATGTGATTTGGGAAAAGGAAGCAACTCGTAGAGAACCACCATCACCCACAGTGAACTCGCGAGTCCCTCAAGTCCCATATCCTCAAAAGCTTAAAAAGAAGAAGCTCGATGCCGAACACCAAGGATTCTTGGACAAGCTGAAGGAAATCCACATCAACATTCCGTTTATCGAAGCCATTCAAAAGATGCCAAAGTGGGTGAAATTCCTCAAGGAGCTCGTGACAAAGAGGAATAAATTGCAAGGGAACGAGATCATCCAACTCACGGAGCAATGCAGTGAAATTCTTGTACGGCCTCTTCCACAAAAACTTGGCGATCCAGGTAAGTTCACTATCCCTTGCACTATTGGAGGTAGAAATTTTAGGTCACTCATTGATTTAGGTGCTAGCATTAACCTTATGCCTTATTCCATTTACAAAAATCTTGGGTTAGGTGAGATTGAACCAACGGCTATAACTCTTCAATTAGCCGATAGGTCTCTAGTTTACCCAAAAGGTATTTTAGAGAATGTGCTAGTAAAAGTGAACAAATTTATCTTCCCTGTTGATTTCGTTATACTTGATATAGATGAAGATAGGGAAATACCTCTTATTTTAGGAAGACCGTTTTTAGCCACATCGAAAACTCTAATTGATTGTGCTAGTGGTGATCTTTCAATGACAGTGCATGATCAAACGGTTAAATTTAACGTTTTTAGCGCTAATAAAAATCCATGTGATGACAATGATTGTTATGCTATTGATCTTGTGGATTTTACAAATCATGAAGATTTTGACGTTTTGATCTTAGACCATGGGAAAGGATCTTTGAGTGCAGGAGATGGTGGCGGAAAAGATAGTCGGACGGAGCAAGTTTATTGTGCGAGCTCAATTTCAACTCCGCCGAGAGACAGTCAAAAGAGTTGGGGTGATAACAATGATGAACGTGCAAGGTGGATGTGGCCACCTAAAGAACCAAACGAGCATTATTGGGGAGAGGAATTCAATCGCCAAGTGACTTCGGTCACGTTAGCTTGAACAAAGAAGCAAACAAAGTCCGGCTGAAGACTTTAAACTTAGCGCTTCTTGGGAGGCAACCCAAGCTTTATTGTTTTTCGTAGTTTTCTTTAATTTTTCGTTTCGTTTTATAAATCATAAGCATGCATTCTAATTTATTTATTTGAATTTTAACTTTTCAGGGTCGAAAACATGATCGGGGAATCCAGACGACCGTCCGCAAAAAAAAAAAAAAAAAAAAAAAAAAAAAAAAAAAAAATTTTGCAGCACTGCATTTGAGACGGCCGTCCCAAAATATGCCTATTTTGTGGGACGGCCGTCCCACAACCAGGAAGAAAAAAAAAATTCGGACGGCCGTCCGAAAATCAGCACAAAAACCGGGACGGCCGTCCGACGATTTTTAGGGCGTTTTAACTTTCAAAAATTAGATTCTTTTCCCCATTATTTCCTAAACCTTCCTCTTTCCTTCTATCAAACTCCCACACACAAATCGAGGCTAGAGAATCGAACCAAATTCTCCAAAATCTACTCATTCAAGGCACGCCCACAAGGTGTTCGACAAATTGCTCCAACCAAGTTTGGGGGTTGATTCTCGTCTAATTTTTACCGGCACCCAATCTTGAGCCCGTACCCGAGCTTTCCGATGAGGACGAGCGTGAGAGAGTGAGGGAGGAGCACCCCGATCACACCGACTCCGAATAAATCAGGTGTTTTCTATCCTTAAAACTTTGTGCTAATTTCGTTGAGGGCAACGGAAATTTTAAG